GCATCCAATCTTGCTAGCAACGTTTCGTGGTTCCTGAACTTTACTCAAGTTTCGAATCCATACCCCCGGACCAGTCGTTTTAGTTGTACATAATATATATTTGACATTTGTTTTTTGTTGTCAACGTGGCAGATTTTAATAGAGTCATCAGATCGTAGTAAGTTTTATTTGCTAGAAGAATTATTCTTTTGATTTCTTCGGGTGTCGTTTTCGTAAGTGACCAGTGAGCTCAGGTGTATACCTGAGCTCACTGGTCACTTACCACTGGCTCACTTTCCCTGAAACATGTATATGTTTCTCTACATTTTCGATATTATACTCTCCTATGGCCAAGTTTTTCAAATGTCTTGTTGATGAGATTGCGTGCATATATTTTGTTTCATTTTGCTTTAATTTTAGCCTAATGTTGGGCGATGATTTCCCTAGTAGGCCAATGACTTCCATCGTGTCTCTTCTTGACGTTGCAATAATGTCAACATCGTCAGCAAAAGCCAGTATTTACATGTTTGTATTGATAATTGTGCCTCTCGTGTTGATTCCCGTATGACCTTCTCGAGTACAATCTTGAAGAATTTACACGATAGTGCATCCCCTGGTGTAACCCATTATTTATTCTAAATCTTGGTGTTATTTTATTTTATATTATAGTACTTTCCAACCTCAGTGTTTGTTCTACCAGCAAAATTAGGTGTGTAGGTATCACAAAAACACAACAAAGACACTTCAAAAATCGATAAACAAATGATACATGATGGCACATGGTTTGAGTACAAAGACTGACAAGGAAACGTGAATATCCTCAGATTACCATACAGTCATCATGCTGGATCACTTCATTGTCGATACAAGACACAAATCTAACATAGTAAAGGTCAGAAATACGCGAGGTGTTAACGTTGAATTTGACCACTATCATCTGGTGATCAAAAAGGGAATCAAGCCTGTAGAAAACTATAGCAACTTAGAACTAGACCACCGAAGAGAAGTACAAAGCACGAAGGAGGGAAGAAAAGTGTACTCTTTGACAGAAAAAGAGAGAGGTCATGAACAGTGAACTTAGGAAATTAGAGAAACTCAAAACATAGTCGGACACGAGGAAATTCCACCAGAATTTAAATAGGAATAAGAAAGGATTTAAACCTAGAACAAATTGTTGTTACATATTGGTGTAGAGACAAAGAAGAACGAATTCTGATAGAGCAAGGCGAAATACTGAAAAGATTGATGCTTTACTATGAGGATAAACTGGAAATAGAAGAAGAACAAATCGAAGAGATTTTGCCGAACTCATCAGACAACAGAACAAGAACCGCTGACATAGTGAAATGATTAAAGTGAAAATATGCTTGCGGGATTATTTTACATTATTTTTAAGAAAAACCTATTGTTGTTAATATCGGAAAAATCGTTGAGTAACGTGTCTGGATGCTCGTTTTTATATTTAAATATGAAAAATTCTTCAAACAGATCCAATTGTTTCTCCACATTGTATTAGATAAACGCCACTTTTTTCTAAGTTATTGAATTTGTGTTTATTATTAGAAATGATTCGACCTATTGTATTACCTGACAAAAACGGTGGAATAATGTTCAATTTGTTCAAATTTGTATTGAGTTTATGTAAATTGTGGTTATATGTATGTTAAAGTAAGAAATTGTTTATGAGCTTGGTAATTAGGATAAATCAGTTTTTTAATGTTATTGTTTCTTTATTGAAATTTATTTGATCTAGCGGAGTGTTGTATAGTCTATTAAAAAGAAAATTAAAAGTTGCTTTTTTGTGTGAGTCGCAGTTATATGAGCTATGGAGAGTGATGCAGTCTGTAGTTGTTGGCTTTCTAAAGATGTCAAAATTGGTAGTTCCCCTTATGCTGTCTTTTATAAGTGTAAGATCTAAGAAGTTGAGACGATTTTTAATTTCTTTTTCTATTGTAAATTCTAAGTTATTTATTGAATTGAAGATATTAAATAATGCTTTAAGCTTGGCTAGGTTTCCTGAATAAATGATTATTATGTCGTCTACATATCTCCTGTAAAATTTGATGTCTTGAGTAATTTTTGATTATTTTTCTGTGAATAATTTGTTTTCTAAGTTGTTTACATAAATATCTGAAATAATACCCGATATTGGGGAGCCCATCGGTAAACCATCAGCCATAGCGACAAATTTATTGTTAACAATGAAAAACTCGGTTTGCAAATGAATTCAATTATTGAACAAAGAACTGTTATATACTTATCATTAATATAATTCTCATATGTTTCTAATATGTTTTTTAATTATTTTTATGGATTTATCTATCGGAACGTTAGTATGTATATAGGTTTATAATCTTGACATTTTTAATCTTGTTAATAATTTTATTTCTGTAGAGTTTTTTAAACGGTGTTTCAAATTCAGTATATAGGAATTTTTATATTACTCTCGCTATTTTTTCAGTGGTGGTATTTCTATTGCTTATAATAGGTCTGATGGAAAGATCTTTTTTGTGGAGTTTTAACAAACTTTTTAGTGTGGGTGGAAGTGGGTTCATCTGTATCTTGTTGAATGTATTAATATTGAATAGATTTAGACTGTTTTTACATTATTTAAAAAGCTTTTTGAATTGATTATTAAAATTAGTTGTAGGGTCTTTTTTAAATGTATTTAAGGATCTTTCTTCATTAAGCTCTTCTCCAACTCGAACCTATGTTCTATTCTATGTTTCGGAACTTTTATCTTAAATGATTTGGGTGTGAGTTTAAGCTGAATATTAGTTGTGTATGAAATTGATGTTGGCTTTAGTTTTTTTATGTATAGTGAAATGATGGCAGGAATGAACAAACTGTTCAACAATAAAGCGCCAGAAATGGATAAAATTGACGCGAAACTAATAAAAGAAGCTGGTACAGGCACATAAATAACTTGTCACAAGCGTATAGCATAATAGTCCCATTGACATTGAAGGAGGTCGCCAAGTTTATTAGTTTAGTGTACTTGTTAATGGATTCTTTGTGTACCTATTATGCTTAGGCAGTGGTTCCCCCTTCTTAGCGCTTAGGCGTGAATGATAGGCAGATTCTTCATTAAAAATTTACTTTTCGTCTTCCTTTTTTTCTTTCGTCGCTGCATGCCTTAGCGTACATAATCTGGAGCTGTATGCCTTGAAATCTCCTATGAGGCTTGTTAACTTATTGTTTATAAGGAAGCCTGTGTCTCTTATAGGCGAATAACGTCGAGTGAATATTTGTCAGTTTCTCTTATTAGGTTTCGTAATTCACCCAGAATATAGAGTCCTTACATTCCAGGTCGGAATCAATAGATCATGTCCCTGTTACGCGCGAAGTTGTCGCCTTCTGATCGATCCGCCTTTAACTTTCTTAAAACTTTCGTAACTGGTGTTCTTTTTCCGGAACTAGATAGTTGGCTTCGCGCCCCATATCATATTTGTATAATGTAATATACTGTATGTCTATTTTTAATGCTGAAGTTACTCTTTTTTACATAAAACCAAAAAATAGTAATTTTATAATTTGTTACCACTTTATATAATTTACTTTATTGTCTGTGGCGATAACATATGTATCAGTTATTTATAAATCTCATAATTACTTATTGTATTGGATGTTATTTTCCATAACTACTTTGTACTTTTCTATTATGTTTATAAAAGACTCTTCTTTGTGAAACTACTTCGTATAATTCTACAAGAATCTTTCGTCTTACTCACCGTGTGTGGATTGTTGCTATAATCAACTTGTCTGATTTCCTGTATAGTACCCGGGTCAACGCTAACCCCTAATTAACACTGTCTTCATACACATGTTGGAGAGTTGCAACCAATGTACGTTCATAGGATGGCATGCAACTACTTTCTGTACTTGTAATTTTTCGTTAAAAGGTGCCAAGTAAAAAGTTCCACCATAAATATAATAATATAAAATTAAAGTTACGTTTCCTAAACTTACTTTAGGACAATTATTGTGAATACGGCCCTAAGGCACCAAAAAATAATGCATTTAATTTTTTATATTATAACTTTTGGAATGTTATGAGTTTTATAAAAAAATTTGAATGTCGTATGTACCTGTCTATTAATGTTTTATAATTAATACTTAAAATATGATCTAACAAAAATAAAAGTCACGTGATAAGTAGAGATTGTCCTTTGTTGTTTTATTCAAGGGGAATATCGTCCCTAAGATCACTGGGAAGATGTTCGTTCAAAAATTTATGTCACGAGCGTACGGGGAGTTGGTTTAAAATCCTTCGCCATAAAGTACTTAGGCTCGGCTTTCGAGTGACACACACGAGGTACGAGTAAGGTTTCCCGTTCGCGTAGTACTTACGGCCTCGTAGAGATACGTGTGTCATATAGCACGATTTTCGAACATTTACGATGCACTCGCTAGCACAACATCGCTGGCGATTTGTAACCATCGAGCTAGAGGGTTTCCAATAAACGTAAATTTCGACCTGAAATACGGTAAAGGGGCGGCGAAATATCGCCCTTTACTACGGTCAATGGGTTTCGCGCCCGATGCAAAATACTTTCGCTCTCGCGTTCGATCTAGAAAACCGTCATATTTCGTACGAGTTTGAGTTCGGAAGTTCTTCCTGGGGAATCGATCCCGATTTTTGCCTTAGCCCCTGTGCTTTATTGTCAGTCTCGACGGTTCTGTTTGGAAAGCACTCGGGGCGTTCGTTTCTCGGGTTGCTGAGCTTTGTTTCCGAGGACTTCGGCCACCAGAGACTCCGGTTGATTGACGGTGCGGTAGCACCACCGAGCCTAATAACGGAACTCGTTCGTCTCCTCCCCTTTTAGCCCCCTCACTAATCAATTGCAAGTTGAACGAACTAATGAAGTTAGTTAAGGCGCGCTTTTATATTTTCTCTTCGTTCGTTCGTTGTCTATTGAGTTACGTAACAAAGGAATATCTAGAAAATATAAAGTTACGAGGAACGATAAATTTACTATTGACTATTTTCAAATTGACATAGTTATTTCTTTTTATTTTAGAATGAAGGTCGAGTACAGGCAAGATAGGATGGAGGCTCTGCTGGAAATCAGTCCTGTGGCAATCGAGGATGAGGCGACATATAAATGCGAAATCACGTACCTGGAGGTTCTAGAGAACTGCGCCGTCGTGCAACTCATCAAGCTGAAGACGCTCGGTGAGTGAAAAACCGCAACCTTAATAATAACTTGAGTGTACATCCTTCCCTTTGTGGCGTGCCCTCAAAACAAACTTTATAATTACCACCGTGGCTTTATGACCGTTTAATTCGCTGATATTAAATTTGGTGTGGATTTTAATACCCAGCGGTGACGACTAAAATGGAATTATGTATCGAACCTTCGTAATAGTTTAATAATGCAAAATTGCTGACGGCTATCCCGCTTAATTAGTCCATTAAGGTAACACCCAGGACGCGATATGGCGCAATACTGACTGGCAATAACAGGGCTGCCAACGGCCCGAGCGAGTGCCATAAGCAAAACGACTGTGCAATAACGCGCACAATAACAGTGTAATGATACCCAGAGTCTCTCGGTCTACCTACGCCGCCACTGCCTCTTATCCACTCTTGTACCAGTTTCGATCAAGCTAACGTTTTAATAGTCCTTGCATAGGTTTACTCGACACCCAGGATTATTTTCCACAAAATCTCCAAAAATAAAACAATATAGTTAAATAAAATTACTCTGTTTCGCGGTCAAAACAAAAGGTTAACTATAACTTTTTGTTCAAAAGTAACAACATATTTATCCCCAGAACTATTTTATTAGTTTTAATCCCGACTAAAAATAAAATATATTTGCACAAACACCTAATTATGCATTACAATTTCGAGTGGATAATGAGCATCACCGCGACCTTTGAAAACGCACCAATTTGTAACATGAAATGCAATAGCGGTCGTACTATAGCATTTTTATAATAAATCGATTGTTTAATTACGGTTGGGCGAGTTCGAGCTACAATAATAATGTTGACAGTAAAGGCCGATTATGTGCTAATAGATGAACCCGTTAAAAAGGGACCGGTTCGCTCTAATTGACTACTAAATTCTCCCCGCGCTCCCCAAAATTCGGATCGTTTGACAATGTTGATTCATTATTAGAACGCGAGCGCGAACGACCAAATCATGTTTCGGGATTATAACTAAATGCGTACCTGTGTACGTTAATTAATGTAATAATGCATTCAAAAAACATTAACAAAACGTAATTTATACATTACTTGCTATCACCCCTTTCTAATTATGATAATTAATTTCAGCACTGAAATCAACAAATCAATATTATAACTGGTTATATAATATTGTGTTGTTAAATTTAAACGAGTCATATAAACGAGTGATTTATTAGCTCACCATCAAACATTGACATATGATGACCAAAAAAAAAATGTTAATGACCATATTTCCTATTTCTAGCTACATTTTTTTTAAACACATAAATATTACAAATATTGTTTAAAATAGCCTCCTTCTGCTAGAATACATGCTTCACAACGACGAATTAAACAGTTCTTCAGCCGAATTAAAATGTCCGGTTGATTTCTTATTTCAGTAGCAGCCATTTGTATTCTGTTTAATAACTGTTCTGGTGTGTTAATTTCCACTTGATACACAATTTGTTTCATTTGACCCCATAAGTGAAAATCCAATGGATTAAAGTGGGGGGATCTAGGTGGCCAAGCAAATGGCATCGTGCTGGTACCACATATTTTGAATTATATTAAGAGGTATATCTTCAAGTAAATCAAAAAGTGTATTGTTCAAAAAAAATCTGTAATTTACAGCGTTCAACCGTCCATCAACTACATGCAAATCTAGTAAATTGTTGTTAAATATTCAACCCCAAACGTTGATGCTGAAACGTTGTTGAAATTTCCTTGGTTTAATCACATGCGGATTTTATAATGCCCAGATATGTTCATTATGGTTATTTATACCATTTCGTGTAAAACATGATTCATCAAAATGTTCAAAGAACATTTGAAATGAAGTCATTATTTTGGGCATGTTGCTGCAATAACCATTCACAAAATGCTAACCGTTGCTGATTATCTCCTGGCTGTAGACCTTGAACATTCTGTTTACGATACAGATGAAGGACTTCGCGGTTCAATACGCGCCATGCAAAATTTTGACTTACATGTATGTTGTGTGCTATTCTTCGAGTGATGATGGAAGGATTATCAATGACAGCATTAATTATAGCTTCTTCGTCCTCTACATTAACTACATGCGGTCGAACAGCTTTTACTGGAACAGGATTACCTATTTCTCGAAGTCTGCTGAAAGAATCGTTAAAAACTGAATAATATGGCAAATGACGCTGTGGAAATCTTTCTTGATATTCTCGTACTGATTGTCGACCATTTCCATTGCAAAAACCATACACGAAAATTATATCAGCATACTCTTCAGTGCTATAAGCGTACATTTTGAGTTTCTTCTTGTAAGTAATAATTAAACCTTACAGCAAACTGACGTATTGACAACTTTGTTTTTCGTATGGTATCTGTGTTATTTAAATAAAATAACTTCTTTTTCGCTACAAAATTTAATGTAATCAGTACCGGATTCGGCTAGTAGTCCATCATCAGCTGAATCTACAATGATATTAAAATAAATAACAAGAAATTATCTTAAAACAAGTGATAAAACTTACTGTCAAAAATGAACAAAAAACTTAGACATAAGTTAAGAACTTTAAAAATTTTAAAGTAAAACTAAAATGAAAATCTTTAAATATAAAATAAAATATACAAAATTATAGACTTACATGATAAAATAACAAGAAACACACTAAAACGACAAATGAAATGACAAACTGAAAATAAATTTATATAACAGACGGGAATAAAAGAGAAGGAGTGAAATTAACGAAGATAGCTGAAAAGTTTTTATTGTTTTTAAAAATTTCATAATATTAGAACGCCGGTCTAGTTATTATTAATAGTGATGAATATTTAGCTAAGACCTACGATTTCATATCTGATAACAATTATATAAAACTTTAAAAGAATCCTATAGAACGCATCGTTAAAGATACAAAGGATATTGTAAAAGCAAATAAATATTTCCTAAAGCATCATGTCCCATATTGTTCAAATATCAATTACCTGTCACAATTCCTTATTCTCATGAACCCACTATCCCTCACATTTATTCATTACCTAATCTTCATAAGCCTGGAATTTCTATTCGCCCCATAACTTCACGTATTAATTCACCTATAATAGAACTTTCAAAGTTAATGCTTAAATTCTTTAAACAAGTTAAATTTATTTCCAAATATTCGATAAATAACTCTAAATCCTTCATTGACTCCATCAAAGACATTGACCTCAATAATAAAATCATGATTTCTTTTGACATTACTAATTTGTACGCCAACATCCCCATAGATCTGACACTGCAATTAACATCTAAGATATTTAAGGACTTTTTCCATGATAACGATATTACGACCATCTTGATTTTTTTTCCATGGCACACTACTGTATTACAGAAGTGACTAAGACAATGTTCGGAAAATGTTTTAATTGTTTTTCTCTACTACAATTACAATTAATGTTGATGTATTGTACATTAATAGATTCAGAAAAAAAAATCTCTATCCAATAGTGTAAAGAAAAATATACCGAGCAATTTGAAAATCAAAAGTTGATAATCGCTTGAAATTGAAGATGGCGTTGGAAAAAGTTTGTTGGTAGCATAAATCATAGTATTCATCAAACCTTTTTATTTGAAGCTTGCGGCATTCGTGTGTGACAACCTTCATATACATGTGTCTTTTCTCTGCTAATATTACATTCAAAATGAATGTATTCTATATCAATGGATTCAGAAAAACAAACTCTATCCAATGACGCGAAGAAGAATATACGCAGCAATTTGAAAAACAAATGTATGAATCATAGTATTCATCAAACCATTTCATTTGATACATCGTTCATGAAAATCAGAACATAAATGACAGAGTTACAGTATGCGGCATTTTTTATCTGACACCCTGCATATGTAATGATGTGAACCCTTATTATAAGAATATTGTTATGTGGACACGTTATGTTGATGATGTCTTCTGCGTTTGGAATGGTGATATTGATATCCTTAATTTGTTCCACGACTACAGTACGAACTTCACAATACATTGAAATTTACTATAGAAATGGAGCAAAACAATAAATTTTTTTTAATGCCAATTTTAGACTTTTAATCAACAGAATTCATAATTACCCTCTTAAACAATCTAGTTATAACTTAGAACTAAAATATATTTATGATCTGGCACATAACATCTAAAATATTAATATCTAAAATAATACAAAATTCACAAAAAAGGTAATAACAATAATAGGTAATAATAAGGTAACAATAAAGGTAAATACAAACCGCTTCATATCCTTTCCCTATCACCCCTCCCTTGAACCTTTCAAACATATGCTATCCAAATTTGAATTAAATCTTTCCTTCCATAATAAAAATTCTATTTTAAATATTCTATCCAATCACAATCCTAAGATTGAATTCTTAAATCAAAGTGATATATATTTTGTTGATTGTTTTAATTGTAATGCGAGGTATATAGGACAGACTGGTCGAAAACTACAAACCAGACTCAGGGAATACCAACAAAAACCAAATTCTAATATATTCCAACATCAAGTTGAAATCTGTCATAAAATCAATTTTAAAGGAGTTAAACTTTTACATCGATGCAATCAGGGTCATAAAATGAGTTTACTTGAATATTATAAAATGTTTAAAAACAATAAAAACCCAAAAATAGACATTATAAATGATCAGATCGAATTCCAGCGCAAACCACTTTTCAGCTACCGTAAAATGGGTGAAATTGTGCCTCCTATGGTGAAAATGTGCCACACGGTTTTTTAATGTTCATCAGGTCTTAATGTTTTAACATGACCTTCGTAGTAAATCGAAATATACATCTGACAGCCTATACATCTGACATTATCATGTCCGAGGCGCCAAATTCAAAGATATGTAAAAAAACCATGTGGCAAATTCTCACCATAGTAGGCACAATTTCACCCCATTTAAGGTATCTTCGTTAATTTCACTCCTTCTCTTTTATTCCCGTCTAGTTACATAAATTTATTTTTAGTTTGTCATTTCATTTATCGTTGTAG